GTGGCGTTATGCAAATCTTCCCACACATGTGGGGGGGGCGTGTTTAAACGAGGCGTTTTAGGAGGGCGTGGACAAGTCTTAACTTTTATAAAGAATATCTCTTTGGATTTGAGACTTTAGTCTTTGCAACTTTAGGGATCTTATCTATGCACGAACAGCTTGTAACACTCCAAAGAGAAAGGAAAATTTGAAATTGCATCAATATGACCCCTTTAAAAAAAATAAAAATCAGGGTTGAATTGAGGCAATTACAATGGAAGTACATGAAACCAGTCCATAAACGTTAAAATATACTGTGCTTCAAAAGTATAGCCACAAGACTTACATATTCTATGTTAATGTGTAAAGTTACAGTAGCCCTCAGTAGTGGATATGAGGCACTCTATGAGTTTTTTCAATTATTTGTGCATATTATTTGTTCTCTGAAATTTCCTCTGTGCTCTTAAAGGAGGTGTGTCGGTGAGGGGCCGATATTCCCATGTTGCAGCTGTCATGGAGGGCCGTGTGCTGCTAGTTGCTGGTGGTTACAGTGGGGTTGCCCGTGGTGACCTTGTGGCATATAAAGTACCGCTGTTTGTAAGCAGTGACCCAGGAGACAGGGTAATAAAATAAAATCTAAATGATACTTTTTCTATTTCTTTTTCTGTTTTTTTTTCTTTCTCTAAGTATTTGTGTACATATACATGTACTTTTGAAAGTATGTTTATGCTCACCAATGCTGTATTTATTTGATCACAAATACAAACATTGATATTGTGAAAGATTATTACAATTTAAAAAAACTTTTATTTTAATATACTTTAAATTGTGATTTATTCCTGTGATGGCAAAGCAGCCATTACAGTCTTCAGTGTCACATGATCCTTCAGAAAGCATTATAATATGCTGATCTGGTGCGCAAACATTTCTTATATATTAATATTCTAATATTTTTGTGTAAAACGTTAGTTTTTTTCAGGATTCTATGATAAAAGAATGGCATTTATTTGAAACAAATATTTTGTAACATTGTAAATGTCTTGAATATCACACTTTGATGAATTCAGAAAAATCATACTGATCTCAACCTTTGATCGATAGTGTATATATAAATGTGTGCGTGTGTTTTTGTCTAACAGGACACCGTATGTGCTGAAGCTCCAGATGAAAGCTTATGCCTCAAGAATCCAGAGTGCAGTTGGTGTGAGGGTCGCTGCCGGGAGTACCAGCCCAACAACCCGGTAATACTTCCCCAGGCTCCTTCACTTGCATTTTGCTTGCTTTTGATCACTTGTGCCTCTCTGATGCTAACAGTCATTTTCACTTGTGTCTCTGACTTCATCATCTGATTTATGTGTGTGTTTATATACAGTGTGGCAGCACCGGATGTCTGGGCCTGGCTCGTTTTTTGTCAGACTGCCAGTCGTGTCTGGTGTTCAGTGGGGTGCCAAACTCTCTGCCACAAGTTTCTGGGGAATTCGGCTGGTGTGTGCAGAATGAGTCCTGCTTGCCTGTTTCAGGTAAAGAGAGAGGAGAGAGCAGACCATAACATGACTGTTAAAACAACCACACACTGCTCAGTAAATCTTTATTTCTAGACACTTTTACAGTCGGTGAAATAATGTGTTACTGAGTACGGTTTGTAGATGACTTTTAGCAGTCATGCTGTGTTAATATCACTGCTTATGTGCTCTTCACTGGTTTTCAAGCTAATTTACACAATATACTTGAATGTCAAGTGACCTGAGTGTGTGGCATATAATCCTTTGGCATATCATGAGTAAATATTGTACACTTTGACCCCTGGCAGAGCAAAGTGCATGCCGCGTGGACCAGATCTCTGGGGCGTACGGCTGGTGGGGGGAGCGCACGCGTTTCCTCACCTCCCTCCCCTTCTGTCGCACCGAGAACTATGTCCCGGGACTGCACCTGCTTACCTTCCAGCATCCACGTAATCAGTCACAGCCTGACAAGGTACGACAAGTTCAATCCTCATGACCTTCTACTCTGCAGACACTTCCTCTCCTCTATACATCTGCTCTAGGCATATAATTTCACTCCTTAAATAACACTTGTTTCTGTTTGTTTACGCCCTCTTCTTGTGATTTCACTTATAATAATCAGTGTTTTTTAGTATAATTTTTTTATATTAGTTTGAAGTTTTTTTTTTTTCAATTTTATTAGTTTTTGCTTTTTTTTAAATAATATGTGTATATAGTTTTTATTAATGTATTTCAGTTTTAGTTATTTTAGTAGATCAAGTTAGCTAGCTGAAATAGTTTAAAAAAAAAAAAAAAAAATTCCCCCCCCCCCCAAATAACAAGATTTAT